CAGAGGCAATGGGATAGAAATTCCATAAAATTATTAAGTGTTTAAGTGGCACTAGAAGCTCTGGTTAGAAGGACCAGAGGCGATGGAATAGGAATTYCTTAAATTTGTTAAGTGTTCATAAATGCACCAGAAGCACTGGTGAGAGGGAAACCAGAGGCCGATGGATCAGAGATCCATTAATCTGTTAAGTATGAGATACCAGAGGATCGATGTAGGAGAAATCCATCCTTTCTCTAAGTATGGATGTAGAACCAGCGATCGACGAAATAGAATTCCAATGATTTGTTTAATCTGAATGTGGAATCAGAGAACCGATGGACGGGTTACTTTATATTTTCCTAAGTATGTAAGATGAACCAGAAGCTCTGGTCATGCAACCAGAAGCTCTGGTAGTACAACCAGAGACTTTATATTTAGAGGGTAGTTTGATTACCACCTTTAGCCTTGCTTAGAAGCTTTAGTTATATCACTAAGTATTTATAGATGGTGCATTTAGTAATTAAGATTATTAATGTCGCAGATCACTATGGCGTCATCCGATCCTAGTGAATACTCGGCCGATGAATCCGGTTACGTGGTTGGCCATTCTAGAAGAAACTCATCCCACAATGAAGAGATAGACCCATATGAACAGGAGGACACCGACTAGTGGAGCATCTGCCTTTCCACCAGCATCCTTCCTACCCCCATCGGAGCCAGCACCCGATGTTCCACCACAAACCTATCATGGCTCAAGGATCAGAGTCACACCAAGGAAGATCATTCCACTACCTCAACGTGTGACATTTGAGGATTCTATTAGAGTCAGAGGAGAGTCGTTCCGACCATAATTAGGGAGCAGGATAACTCAAGTGGTGATCGGGGTACCTGCATCCTGCACCCGGGGCATGAATCCGGCTGAAAGAGAATGGGCAAGGATAATCGCATCCGATACGCAAGTGCACCAGACCCGGCTGGGATACCACCACCACATCCTAAAAAATCTATCCGATGTGATGGAAGCACACCATCAGCGCATGTTGAGGAACACGAACACCGTTATTGCAGCAAGGCGGGAAATAAGGAGGTTGTACAGATGGTTGGTAGTAAGTGGAGTGATGATGCTAATTTTGGGAATAGTGATAGGATGGATGTTGTTCTAGAAAGGTGGATTAGTGGTAGGATACCCACTCTTTGGCATAGAAACTCAAAATCCTGTTTTTGTGACTATAATCATCTATGAATGCATGATGTCTTTTTGAAGAAATGTTTATTTATGACAAGTCATGGTGTGTATAAGATTAATCTGTTTGATTATATAAATGTTTGAATAATATCCATGCGATGAATGTCCCTTACATCATTTAAATGATTGGAAGTTATCGTCCTTGTATTGCCATATTAATGATGAAACTCCCTTCTGATTTAGGCCATAGAAAATGCCACCAAGAAGAGAAAACCCTGAGGTTGCATGACTTGTGTCAGAACAACTTTTGGCCGCACTCCCCAATATAGTTAGTCAAGTGGCTGCTGGCCTGAATGCTAATCAACCAAACAATCCAGAACCGAGGGCGGCTAGGGAATGCACATATAAATCTTTTAGATCTTGCAACCCGAAAGAATTCAATGGAACCGAAGGAGTAGTAGGATTATTATCATGGCTCGAAAGCATGGAGTCTGTTCTTCACATTAGTAAATGTACTGAATGAAATAAAGTAGAATATGTGGCATGTTTGTTACAAGGAAGGGCACTTACCTGGTGGAATACATTGGTACGAACTAGGGGTCGGGAAGCGGCTAACCAGCTTACTTGGGAAAATTTAAGAAATTATTAAAGGATGAATACTGCCCAAGAAGTGAACACCAAAAGTTAGAAATGGAGTTATGGAATCATGAAATGAAAGGGGAAAATATAGCTGCTTATACAGCCCGATTCCACGAGTTAGTGAATCTAGTACCTCATTTAGTGACACCGGAGGAAGTCCGCATTGAGAGGTATATTTGGGGATTGTCTCCAGAGATTAGGAGAAATATCACCTCGGCCAACCCAAAAAACCTTAAGGAAGCAATAGATATTGCCACCAAGCTCACGAATAATGCGGTTCGATCAGGAGAATTCGCTACGGGAAAAAGAAAAATGGAGGAGCATGGGAATCGAAGATACTGGGGGAAAATATGACAAGAATAGGAGAGTGATAGGAAATTTTGGGGTACAGACTCAGGCGGTGAAACAAAGAGACAAGACCAAGTGCAATAAATGCAAG